TTATAAATCGGTGCCACCACATGTGGCATTTAATCCTTATTTTGAGGTTTCTGTGGATTCACACTGCTCATTTGATTTTCCTCTCCATGGACTTAATCCTATTGTTAAAGTTTCTGAAAAGTCAGGAGTGGCCTCCCTCCCTTCCGTTTCTAGAAACCCTACTGTGTGCCAGGCCCTGCTTTCGACAGAGCAGTGAACAAAACAGACAGACTCTCTGCTCTTGCACAGCTAGGATTAGCTTTGGGCCTTTCTTTCTACTTCACTATCCTTGTTACCCAGAGGGAGAATTTTGTCCAAAAAGATTTTTTTTTTCTTTTGCCAGGTTAATAATCTGTGTGAAAGGACTCTCCCTACTGCGAATTCCAGGGTATTCTGTGTTGTTCACAGTAAACCAGCCTACATGAGTATTCTTTGTCAGTCACTCTCAGGCACCAGAAAGCCTTTTGACAGTCAGATCTTGACCACCCAGTTTTCTGCAGAAGGTCCAACTTATAGAGAAGAGTGGAAGGTTACAGTTTTTGTACCTAGACTTCAAGAATATGTTTGATCTAGGAGATTGTTTTTGACTTTCAAACAGGGAAATAATTCCAAATCATGGTGATAATTTGGACTACAGGTTGTGAGTTTTATTGAACTCATATATGTACATAGAGTTTCTCTTCTCCTCCCTGCCTTTTTTTTTTTTCTTCTATGTAAATAACTGATATGGGAGCATATCCGGAGTAAAACTATTATTGACATTGTGCTTTTCTTCCTTATCTTTGTTACCTAGAGGAAATTTTGAAAGAAAAATGGGCAGTTACTGTGTTCCTTCCACTGGCCTTTCTGTCTGGTGCTGTAGAAAGAGTGAGTAGAAACAGGGGGACAGAAAGAAGCAAGTTGCAGCAACTTAATATAATTAAAAAAGCGTTGTGAGCTTGGGTTCCATGGGATGGTCTGTCTGTGTGCTCTTGACTATTTCCCAGGATGGGGTTTTGCTCATTTTGTGGCATGATGGCTCCTGCCATATGTAGAGAAAATATCACATGAAATGTTTGCAGGTAGACGCACAAAAGCCCACTGTAGTCTGGATTCTGTAGAAGGGGAGGAAGAGCCTACACTGTGCCCCCACCCCATCCCCAAATAGTCCTCTGCCTGCCCATTCCTTATGCCCTTTCCATTAAATACAAGCATATACTTTATCCACCTTGGTGATCTCAAGGCTAAGAAAGCAAAAGTAGCTCTTGAAATTTGGATGGCATAGGCTAGCCCATTCCAGTGATCCTTCCCCCTCATTTCCCCTTTTCCTTTGCTGGCACCCTCCTTGCCACATGCTTCTGCTCCTCTTGGGTGCCTCTCCAGGGGACTGATGCTGCCTTCTTTTTTTTTTTTTAAAGATTTTTTTTAGTTGTCAGTGGCCCTTTATTTTACTTATTTCTATGTGGTGCTGAGGATCAAATCCAGTGCCTCACACATGCCAGGCGAGCGCTCTACCAGCCTGGGACTGCCTTCTGATATGACTCAGTTCCACATTTCAAACTTGATATTCTTGGCTTAAGTTTTCATGATCTCCAAAGACATTTTTTACTTGGAAGATACATAAAACAACACATACATACAAAGAAAATAAAGAGGCATAATAATGTTTTGGTTTAAAAAAATTATTTTTGGGGGGTATTGGGGATGAACCCAAGATCTCTCACATGGTAAGCACACGCTGTACCATTAAGCTACACCCCCAGCCTTATGTACTTTATACACACAAACACTTTTTTGCTTCACAATCACATAAAGGGGCTTCTGTAGGTATTATTTTTGGCTAGACTCATGGAATTACTTTCTTAGGCTACTAAACCAAAGTACCACAGGCTGGGTAGCTTAAGACAACATAATCTGTTCTCTCAGTTCTAGAGACTGGAAGTCTGAAATCAGGGTATTGGTAGGGCCATGCTTCCTCCTGAAGCTCTTCAGCTCCTGGTGGTTGCCAACAACCCTTGGTGTGCTTTGGCTGGGGCTCCAGTCTCTGCTTTTATCTTCACATGGCTGTCTTCCCTTGTGTTGCATATCTTTGTGTGTCCTCTACTCCTCCTCCTCTTTTTATTTTAAATACTTTTTTGATTGTCAATGGACCTTTATTTGTTTATTTATTTATTTGTTTCTTTGTTTATTTATTTATTTATTTATATGCAGGGCTGAGGATTGACCCCAGGGCCTCACACATGCCGGGCAAGTCCTCTACCACTGAACCCAGAGCCCGACCCAAGTCCCCTCTGCTCTTCTTATAAAGACTGTTTTAGTCAGTTTTTTCACAGCTGTGACTAAAAGACCTGACAAGAACAATGAGGGAGGAAAAGGTTATTTGAGGGCTCACAGTCTCAGAGGTCTCATTCCATGGACAGCTGGCTTCATTCCTCAGGGTTCGAGGTGAGGCACAACAACGTGGTGGAAGACTGTGGTAGAGGAAATCTGCCCTTATGATGATTAGGAAGTAGAGAGACTGCACTTGCCACATATAAAATATATGCTCCAAAGGCACACCCCAATGACACACCTCCTCAAGCCATCCTGCACACCTTCAGTTACCACTCAGTTAATCCCGTCAGATGATTAATTCACTGATTGGGTTAAGGTTCTCATAACCCAATCGTTTCCCCTCTAAACCTTCTTGAATTGTCTCACAAATGAGCTTTTGGAGGATACCTCACATCCAAACCATAACAAAGACATCATTCAGATTGGATTAAGGGCCCATACATTAGTATGACCCCCATCTTAACTAATTGCATCTGCAGAGAACTTATTTCTGTGTAAGGTCACATTTTGAAGTCCAGAAAGGTCATAAATTTTGGATACTATTTAACTCATTATATAATTTGGGGGAATTTTATACTCTATTCTGAAAATAGTCCACAATTTAACAAGTTTTGCTTATCTATTATAAAAAATATACCTGACATATTTATAAATATATATTTTTGTATACATGTACTGTATTTCTATAAGATATACATATGTGTGTATATTTATTTATTTATTTTGTACCAGGTGTTAAGGTTAGGGTTAGTTAGAGTTAGGGTTATACATATTAGATCTATTTCCATATTCTTTTTTCTGTTTTCTTAAGCTTTTTGCATATATATATATATATATATATAAAGTTTTTGTTCTGTGCAGAGGAAGCACATATAGCTTCCTCTAACTGTACACAGTTGATTTTCATTATTTATGGTAGTTATGTCTAGGGTCTGAAGTTTCTGAGAACACTAGATTAATGATTGCTAAATTACTGCCTTTATAGGAAATACAGGTTAGGTACCTGCAAGCCTCTCCCACAGTTTTCTAATCAGTGCACACTTGTTTTGTGTATGTTTCTGTTTAAGGGCCCCTTGTTGAATATATATTGTTGCTTCATTAACATTAAATTCATAGTCAACATCATTATAATTTCTGAACAAATGCGTATTTTTTCTGCAAGGCACATCACAGCCTTCTGGCACTAAAGAAGACCAGGTAACACTTTAGCATTATACTTGAGAACTTTTTTTTCCTTTTCATTAATTAACTTCATTTTTTAGAGCAGTTTTGAATTCACATCAAAATTGGGGAAGTACAGAGAGGTTGCATATGCCCTGTGACCCCATACATGCACTGTCTCTTTTAGGGGCCCTTTTAAATACAAAATCACTCAACGAAAAGCACAAAAATGCCAAAAAAGTGGCATTAAAATAGGTTATGAGGGGCTGGGGTTGTGGCTCAGTGGTAGAGTGCTCAACTAGCATGCTTGAGGCACTGAATTTGATCCTCCACACCACATAAATGTGAAATAAAGATATTGTGTCCAATTAAAAAACTAAAAAATAAATATTAAAAAAATAAAAATAAAATAGATTATGAATAGGATGCTTGTTTATAATATTGGAAATGGGGAAAAAACAGTAAAAGATGTTACCTTGTTCTGCCTCAGCTGGGATTTGCTGTTCTGTGAATGAAGCAAAAAGTATCTTGGGTATTGATTTTAGAGTATTAATTTAGGGAGTAGAGGAATTTGAAAATAGGAATTCTAATAATGAGGATTACCTTTACTATTTTAATTATTGTAACATTATAGAATGTTCTAATGTCTGGTGAAGTAAATCCCTCATTTCGTTTTCAAGAATTTATTGTTAACTGGGTAAGGTGGTGCATTTGTGTAATCCCAGCTATTCAGAAGGCTGAAACAAGAGGATCATAGGTTTGAGACCATATTCAGCAATTTAGTGAGTGTGCAGGGTTTAGTACTGGGTTCAATCCCCCGTACTAAAACAAAAAGAATTTCTTGTTTATACCTCTTAAAATCTAGTTCTAGAATAGGACAACCAATGAAAAATTAGCAAGGAATTTGAATAGACATTTCTTTAAAAATATACAGATGGCCTGTATATACATGAAAAGATCCTCAATATCATTAGGCATCAGGAGAATACAAATCAAACCACAATGAGATGCTACTTCATACCCATGAAAACGGCTGTAATAAAAAAAAAAAGAAAAAAGAAAAAAACAGATGTTTAACAAGTGTTTGCTTGAACATGAAGAAATTGGAACTTAATCTGCGCTGATGGGGATGTCAAATAGTGTGGCAGTTCCTCAAAGAGTTAAAACAGAGTTACTATGTGACCTAGTAATTTCATTCCTAGATACTCAAAAGAGGTAAAAACGTATGTCCACACAAAAGATGTAATAGAAGCATGAATCATAATAACCCCAAAATAGAAACCACTGAAATTTTCACCAGCTGATGAACATGTAGACAAATGTGGCATATCCATACAATGAAATATCACTTGACATTAATTAAGTGCAACTGGCGGAAACCCAGGGACATTGACAATTCGGTGTGGAGAAGATTCAAGGGCCAGATCTTGATGCCCAACATTGGTTACAGGAGCAACAAAAAAACAAAGCACACACTGCCCAGTGGCTTCCAGAAGTTCCTGGTTCACAGTGTCAAGGAGTGGAAGTGCTGCTCATGTGTAACAAACCTTACTGTGCTGAGATTGCTCACAACAATTCCTCCAAGAACCACAAAGCCATCCTGGAAAGAGCAGCCCAGCTCACCAGTTCCAACACCAAGGCTGAGAAGTGAAGAAAATGAAAAGATAGTTGACGTGCACGTTTTTTGTGTGCTTAATCACAAAAACTGCCCCCCAAAAAGAATGAAGTATGGATACATGCTACAACAAAGACAAGCCTTGAAGACCTATGCAAGCTGAGCATGGTAGCACACACCTGTAATCCCAGTGGCTCAGGAAGCTGAGGCCTGGGAAGCTGAGGTTCAGGAGGCTGAGGAAGGATTGCGAGTTTGAAGCCAGCCTCAGCAACTTAGCGAGGCCCTAAGCACCTCATGGAGGCTCGGTCTCTAAAATATTTTCAAAAGTTGGGGAGGGGCTAGGGTTGTGGCTCAGTGGTTAAGTGCTCCTGGGTTCAATCCCTGGTTACCAAAAAGAAAACCTATGCAGAATGAAAGAAGCTAGATATAAAAGGCCACATATAGTATGATTCCACTTATGTTGTTCAGGGTTGGACGGTGGTGGCAGGGGATTGGACATCCGTGACTGCTGATTGATAGAGTTTGTTTTTAGAATGTTGAAAATATTTTTAAATTAGTAATGAGAGTTACACAACTAGGAATTCACTAATATTTAGTGAATAATATGTTTAAACTTTTTAAATTTATTTTTTCTGGATGAATAGTCTATCTTCTGATAAATTATACACTTTAAATGCATACATTTTATAGTATGTAAATTTTATCTTAGTAAAGCTTTAAAAAAGAAACGTATTGACAACTACTTAGAGAAAGCAAAATCATGTTCTGCCCCTCCAGTCCTGCCCACCTCTACCCAGGTATATACAGGTTCAAGCCTGTTAATAACCCATGGGCAGTCAGAGGTGGGGGTCTTTAAGTCAGTCATTTGCCCAGTGTCTGTCACATAACTGTGTTCTAACTGTTCCTGTGCCTGAGGACTCCATCGATTTTAGCCAGTGTCCATACTTGGGAAGTCCTTATGTTGTCCAGGATGGTTGGGCAGGCTGGATTACTGACTCTTGCTATTCCACATATGCACTTTATAGGTGAACTTTAGAACCCCGTTGTGACAGCCTCATCCCACCCCTGCCTTCACTAGTAAGAAACCTGATGTGATTCTGTCCAAGTTATATTAAATTTGTATGTATGGTTTTGGAAGACTCGACATCTTGTGTGTGTGTGTGTTACTGAGGATAGAACCCAGAGCTTCCCACATGCTAGGCAAACACTCTACCACTGAGCATCCTTAGCCTGAGATTTGACAAGTTTATATCTAGTCTCCCTACCCAGGACTCTAGTACATGGTTTCTTTCTTTGTTTTGAGATCTTATTTTTAAAAATATTTTTATTTGTAGATGGACACGATACCGTTATTTTATTTATTTCTATGTGGTGCCAGGGATTGAACCCAGTGCCTCACACATGCTAGGCAAGCACTCTACCACTGAGCCACAACCCCTCTATTTTTATTCATTTACTTTTATGTGGTGCTGAGGATCAAACCTCACATATGCTAGGCAAGTGCTCTACCACTGAGCTAGAACCCTAGCCCTTGGGATCTTATTTTTATGTCCTTTAATAAAGTTTTATAGTTTTGGCCTTTTTTTTTTTTTTTTTTGATGGTGGTGGTGGTACTGGAGATTGAACCTAGGGATTCCCTACCACTGAGTTACATCCCTTAGTACTTTTTTTTTTTTTTTTTTTTTAATTTTGAGACAGGGTCTCATTAAGTTGCAGCTTGCCTTGAACTGGTGATCCTCTTGCTTCTGCCTCCCAAGGAAGGAGGTGCCACTCACCCAGCTCCTAGTTTTACCTTTCTTGTTACATTTATTTCTAGTTTTTATGAATTGGATCATTTTTCATTTCAGTTTTTAACTAGTTAGAGTATTAAAGCTATTGCTTTTTACATATCAAGGTATCTGCATCTTACATTATTTCATCTTATATTATTCCTTTAGTACTAGCATTTGTTTACGTGTGTTTCTTGGACTTTCAGGGAAAGTCACCCCTAGGTTTTTCTCTTATTTCCCAAGATACTGTCCTATTCTTGCTTTCTTTTCCTTTCTTGATTTTCCTTTACTGGATCTTCTTCTTGCATCTGTGTTTCAAGGAGTCTCCACCTGGAAATAGCAAGAATATCTAAAGCTCATAATAAAATTAAACAAGTTACACTTAAACCCTTCAGAGCCGCTTGCTGCTAGACAATGCAGCACATTTGTACAGATTAGAGGACGGTTCCTCTTTGTGTTGATGCTTTACTCTCACCTCTTGGGAAGTCTATCTTAATTAACTGATTCTGTTGAAATATGACACATCACTGCAGAAAATATCATAACAAGTCTGTGGCTATCCAGGGTCTCGCAGGTTGGTGCTCTTTAGATGAGGAGCCCTGCGGGGTGTCATCCACCATAAACATTCACAGCAGTGCCGCCCCCGTCTATGAATTTGCCTTTCCTTCAAGCCCACTACCTCTGCCATTTAGTCTCATTGTTTCACTTCTCTTCACAGGACCCCAAAAGGGGAAAGTCAAAATATAACTAGGTCTTCCTCTTCCCAGTCTCTCTTAGGGCGCTCTCATCCCAACTCAGAATAATGTCCCTAGAACAACAGGAAACCCCTGCTGAAAAGCCTCATTGGTGGATCAAAATGATGGTTCCTCATTTTGCTCTCAAGAGTCAGATGCGCTTCAAGTCCTGGAAGCCCTATGGCAGCGTTCCCTTGAGCTCCTTGCCCGGCGTCCCCTATGCTTTTCCTGTCACACTCTTAACTTTTAGTTTTTTATCCATAAGGTCAAAGTAATGAGGCCTCCTCCGCAACCACATAGTACACATCAAACAGTATAGTATGCAGAAATGGCACATGCAGGGCCAGGCTCTTGTTGCATTAGCTTCCTTTTCTTCCCAACTACTTTGGAAACTGAAACATGATGTGTAATGGTAACGTGTTGTTATAATTATTTGTGCTTCATGGTGTGCCCATTATGTGGAGTTCTTGTATTTTGGCAAGAATTCATTATTTTTGACTCCTAATAAGGAACATTTGAAAATATTCCAGAAGGAAAAAAGTGTACACTTTGCAACCTTAGTGTATCACAGAAACAGGTGGCACTATAAGTTTATTCCGCTGGCCCTGGAGGCCCCTGGCGAGCCCTGTGGGAGGAGAGGCCCCCTTGCACCTGTAGTTGTCTGGTTGATAGATTGACCAGGAAGAGAGCTCTTTGAGGACGCCCAGTGCTATCTGTGAGGGATGTGCTGGTCACAGACCTTCCCTAGTGGGGATTCCCCTGTCCCTCTGCTACTGCCTTAATGAACACCAAGATGAAGTGTTTACTACTGATTACAGGAAATGTTTGGTGAGGGCTGGGGTTGTGACTCAGCGGTGGAGCGTTCACCTAGCACATGCAAGGCCCTAGGCTCAGCACCACATAAAAATAAATAAAATAAAGGTATATAAAAAAAGAAGGAAAATGTTTTGTGAATAAGGGTCAGTTTCTAAATGAGTTTATTAGTTTAAAAAATTCGGTTCACCCCACACAGTAGGGTACACCTGTAATCCCAGCAATTTGGGAGGCTGAGGCAGGAAGATTGCAAGTTCTAGGTCAGCCTGGACAACTTAGTGAGACCCTTTTTCAATGTAAAATGGTTGAGGCTGTAACTGAGTAGTAAGGTGCCCCTGAGTTCCATCTCCAGTACCTAAATAAATGAGTTCATTCCAGCCACATTTGGTATTCTCTTGCTTTTTGTTCTAGGCTCTCTCTGGATTCATTTCTACTAGGTTTTAATCAGAACCATGTTGTGAAACATTTTGGATTCAAATTAGAGTTCAAAACAAACAACTCTGAGAGAATACAGATGAAACCCAGAACAGAAGATAAACAAGAAATAATATAATAGCATTATAAAAAGGATTCTGTCAGAGGGAAGGGACAGAAAGAAGCTGGGGAGGTCATATAGAAACAGCCCCCTCAGAGAAGGACCCAAAGAGGGAAAGGTTTCAGGCAGCCAGTGAGTACTCATGTCAGGGTCTGGGTTGGGGTCCTTCCACTTCTGACCAACCTGTGTCCAGAAACAAGGGTTAGTAGTGGCCCTGCCTCTTTTGAGATAGGGTGGAATAGTTCTTATGGGCAGATGCAATTCACTGTATGCCAAAAGGGCCCCTAGGAAGTGCTGTCTCTCCTCTGCATCCCTTCTGTTTTCTGTGCCCTTTCCTCACTCTTCCTTCCCAGAGTTGTCCTGGCCCCCACTTGTACTTGAGAGCCAGAGGTCTAGATGCTCAGAGTGTGCGAGAAGACATGTATCAGGGGTGTGAGGCCACCCTTTCCATCTGCCCTCCCCGTGTGCTGTAGACATTTCAGACAAGTGGTCATGGGTTAGAAAATGTTGAGAGAGAATGTTTTTGCCAACTGTTATGTTTGATTTATTGATTTGATTTAGGAAATATATGTACATGTTAAAAGACATTTTTCATAAAGTGTAAGAAAGTATACAGAGAAAAGTATCCTTCCCATCCCTGTCCCCTGAACCCTCTACTCGTCCTCAGAGGGTACTTACTTCACATGTCCGTCTTCAGAGGTCTTGTGCTTATCATTGTTTCCTTTGAAAATAATGTTCCTTTCACTTTCGTTCCCGGAGTACTGGATCTACAGATGTGTTATTCCTGTGTCTAACTGCTTTCTCCATATCTCTTCCCGTCTCAGATTTTGACCCCTGGTGGACAAATGACTGTGAGCAGAATGAGTCAGAGCTCATCCCTCCCAACTGCACTGGCTGTGCTCAGAAATTACCCCTCAAGGTAATACTCCTGGAAGATACCCCCAAGGAGTTCGAGAGACTCCATCCTCTGGTGATCAAGGTAAGAAGACTGAATCTCAGGCTGGGGTTGTGGCTCAGTGGTAGAGCACTTGTCTAGCATGTGTGAGACGCTGGATCCAATCCTCAGCACCACATATAAATAAATAAGTAAAATAAAGGTACTGTGTCCCTCTATAACTAAAAAAACTGGAAAAAAAAAAAAAAGCCTGATTCTTCCACTGAGTGATGTTTTGCTTTCTGTCTCACCAAGTCTGGACAGCCCCTGTTGTCTGAGGAGATTCAACATTTTTTGTGCCAGTACCCTGAGATGACAGAAGGCTTCACTGAAGGGTTTTTTTCCAAGTGGTGGCGTTGCTTTCCTGAGCGGTGGTTCCCCTTTCCTTATCCATGGTGAGTATGGAAGGGCACTTAGCTTGTGTGTGGGGAAGAGGTGGGCTAGATGTCCGAACAGTGGGAGTCACTGAGCCCCTGCCACGTGTCAGCACCAAGCACTCACTTGACAGCACACAGCCAAGGGAGAGCAGTTCTCTGATAAACTAACCAAATGGAGCATGGTCAAAAGAAGGGCACAGGCATGGGGAAACACCAATATTGCCTAATAGAATCATGATTTATTTCTAAGTATGTGTTAATAGAGACGTGTCTGGAGGATGGGTCCTGAGCACCGGGGCCGAGGAAAGAGCGTGAGGAGCAGGAGGAGAACTGCATTTCCTGGCACTTGCTTGTTCCAGGCAGTGTGTTTTGGTGATTAGTGTCTGTTGCTCATTAGTGACACTCACAATAGCTCTGGGAAAAAGAAATTATCATTGTCATTTTTCAGATCAGAAGAGTGGCAATCAGAGAGGCTCAGTAACTTGCCCAAGCACACCCCATGAGGACTGACACCCATTTTGGTTTTCCTATTCCTTTCTGTGTCCTACAGAAGACACTCCATGGCTTCCAGTCCTGAAGATAGGCTGGCTGGCCCAGTCGTGTCCATTCCTTGGGTCTAAGGTTGCTCTCTAACAAGAAAACAAAAGCTGGTTTCTATCCTAGAACTGTTTCAAAGGAGAATTAAAATATTTTTCTCAGAATTCTTCCGGATAATTTCTTAATACATCCTCCTAACTTTAAATTTGCCATCTATTTTTGAGATAGAATGCCCAGTTTAACAAGCTCATCAGGCCTCCCACTCTGCACTGGGAAGAAGGGTCAGGCTTTTTTATCCCCTCCTCTCTTCTTCTCTCCCCCACGTGGCCTGCTGTTTTTGTAACCTCTTTACAAGGTAGAATGAATAGATCATTTCTTTTCTTCGTCTATACATTGTTTTAACTGGACTTTCTAGACATACCACCCACTCATAGAAACCATGGCCATAGGGTTTATGTGTGTGTATGCATGTTATAATTCATTTTTTCAGCTTGACTCTTCTTCATGGACCTAGAACTTAAGATATTATACTGTTTTCTTTTCCTCTTTACCTGCCACCCAGTTCCCCACCCTTGCTTAGTCCTCTGTTAGTACATAGGCTGGATGGCCCAGTCTCATGATGTTTTTCTGTTACAAACTTTTACAGGAGAAGACCTCTGAATAGGTCACAAATTTTACGGGAGCTTTTTCCTGTTTTTATCCACCTGCCATTTCCAAAAGATGCCTCCTTAAAAAAGTGCTTCCTTCTTCACCCGGAACCTGTTGTGGGGAGCAAGGTAGGAAATTTTGAGAGGACTTGGATCTAGAACATTCTTCATTTGGGATCTGGATTGGTGTCATAATCAAGGCCTTTCTGGTATATTGATTTCGAGGGTGAATTGAGGGTACACCTACATAATCCAAAGGTCTCCCTTCTGCTGCTAGCCAAGAGACCTACAGTGGCCCACCCTGTTATAAAGGCATGTTTTCAGAAAGTTTAGGTATCTTAAAAGCCTGTTTCCTGTCCTTAACATGTAGGGGCAAGCTACTTTTCTATATTGAAGGGAGTAGAATTGTAAATTTTGAAGGGACTTGAATGTACAGTGAGTCTGACTTCTCTACCCCAAATTATAAAGTAGGCAAGCCATAGATGAATAGTATATAAATGAATAGTCCAATGTTTCCATTTTGTAAATAAGGAAACTGAGTCCCAGAGAGATTTTAAGTGATCTGTCCAAGGTCGTGGAGCAGATTAACAGGAGGATTCCTTCAACCCCCCACTCCCAGGGTAGCTGGCTTTCCCCAGAAATAAATAAGAAAGCCAGGCATCATAGCTTATGCCTATAATCCCAGCTACTCAGGAGACTGAGGCAGGAGGATGGCAAATTCAAAGCCAGCCTGGACAACTTAGCAAGACCCTGTCTCAAAATACAATAAAACGAATGGGAAAGTAGCTCAGAGACAGAACATTCGAACATTCCTGGGCTCAACTTCCAGTACCACCAAAATAAAATAAAAACAAATGAGAACATTCAAGCCGGGTGTGGTGACACACACCTATAATCCCAGCAGTTCAGGAGGCTGAGACAGGAGGATCACGAGTTCAAAGCCAACTTCAGCAACAGTGAGGCCCTAAGCAACTCAGGGAGACCCTGTCGCTAAATAAAATATAAAACGGGCTGGGAATGTGGCTTAGTGGTTGAGTGTCTCAGAGTTCAACCCCTAGGACGTTCCCCCCACACAAAAAAAGAACATTTAGGTAGAGAACTGGAAAGGCAAAAGCTTGGGAGCCTGGGGAGAATCTGCTAGAAACTTGGAGAAAGTAGGTGTCCCACTCAGGGTGGAAAGGCCCACTCTGCACCCAGTGTTTCCCACTTTGTTCCCTAGCCAGTAGACTGGGAGAAGTTATTCTGTGTTTGTGTCTATTTACTTTTCTCTGAATTGTTCTTTTATTGAGTTTCATTCCTGAGGAAGATTTTGAGCCTTTATTGATTTGGAAGAATTAAAAGAATGAATTTTGTAAAAAAAATTAGGGATGGGGGTACATCCCCAAGGTAAAGCTGTGCTTAGCATGCTTGAGGCCCTGGGTTCAAACCCCAACACCACTTAAAAAAAATAACACAAAATTTAAATGTCCCAAACTGTGACTCCCTATGAACTCTGGGTTGTGTCTTCAACCTCCTGATACTCTTGTTTGGCTCCAGATTTGCTGAATTGTGTTGGAAAAATTTAAAAACCTATAAAAACAATCATTTTTGTCTAGAAGTAAGAACTTTTGTCTGCCAGCAGTGGGGAGGTGCTGGGCTCTTGCCTCAGACTTTACCAGAGTTTATCCTGCTGTCCTTGACTAGAACTTTGGCCATAGGATGATTTCATCTTCATAATTATGATTTAATTCTGGGCGAGGGCCGTTATCTCAATTTTCCCACTTGAATATTGAAGATAATTTCACCAGCCTGCTTAGCACCAAGGAGCCCAGCCAACCAAGTAACTTGAGTTACTCAAATGGCTATCGAAATCATCTTATTGTGGTTCACAAGGATGTTTTGGGAAGGGGAGTGGCCCCAAAAGGCAAAAGTCCTGAGTCTGGTTTCTTGGAGCATCTGTTTTCCCACCCTGGCCCAAGCTTTCCTTTTTCCCAGCCTTGTTACTCCACCCAGTTCTCCACATCCCTGTTCCTGGGCTCTGGTAAAGTCAAGGTCTGCGCCCAGCATCCCAAAACAGGCTTAGGATAGAAGAGGGGATCTGGTTCTTAGGAGTCACTAGGGGAAGAGATTAAGTCTAGCTCCACCCACTCCACAGTGCTGCCTGGGGCTGGCCTGCATCTCCTGTCTCTCTGTTTCCACTCTAGGTGTGAAGGAACATGACCCCACCCCTCTCAGGCCTATGAAAGAAGACTACACCCACTTGCTTTAGGTCTTTGGGATTTTTTTTTTTGTAGACTACAGATATCAGGGCTTCTGTGGTGTTAGCACCAGTCAACTGCAGGCCAGCTCAAGGTACCAAGTTCCCTCCTGTCACTACACCATTTCACTGAAATGGCTCTAATATGTCTTAGAAACAGAATCATAGCCAGGGTTGGACCCAGAAGAAGATGAGACCCAAACCTAGAGTCCTGGAATGGAAAAGAAAAACCAAACCCAGGGAATCCAACTTGTGCCATCTGTTTTATGTAGGCAGGAGCTCTACTCTGAAGGGCAAGAGCTTCAGGTGGGGAGGCGAGGAAGAGGAAACTCTAGGGTTTTTTTTGTTGTTGTTTTTTTTTTTTTTTGAAGCTAGGGAGAAAAACCAGAGTAAGTCCCACTTCTCCATGTCCCTATTCCCTGCCCATCCAGGGGCTTCACAACTCCTTGCGTGGCACACAGCAGGTTGTACTTAATGCATATTGCTGACAGTAGTTACCTCTGCAGGTGCATATCTTGATTGTCTCTCATTTTCAAAATCGGAGGCCAGGCTTATTGTCATTAGGTTTAATTAGTAACATGGCATATCTGCTTACCTGGGTCTTGCCAGATAATTTGAACTTGCTGCTATGCAATTTTTATCAGAACCCTGATAGTAAGAAATGATAGTCCACAGAAGAGTGCCTAAAGGATATGCATACCTATTTATCTAAAATATCTGGATTAAATCAGACCCTTAGAAGATTGTATACTTAAACCACCACAGGTAGGCCTCTGATAGAGCCACTTTTTAAAAAATATATATATATTTTTTAGCTGTAGATGGACACAATATCTTTATTTTTATTTCTTTATATGCGGTGCTGAGGATCAAACCCAGTGCCTCACACATGCGAGGCAAGCACTCTACCACTGAGCTACATAACCCCAGCCCAGAACCACATTTGTTAAATTGTGGTAAGAAGATAGAGGATGTAGCTGAGTGATACAGGGCTTGCCTAGCATGTGCAAGGCCTTAGGTTTGATCCCCAACTCTTATCTATATTTATATCTTTATGAATATCTGTATATGTATGTGTGTGTGTGTATGGCAAGAAG